CTGGGCACATTGGCCCGATCCGGGCCCCTTGGGGGTGGGGTTCCCCCGCTGGCTGGATGCGGGTCAGCGGGTAGGGGACCCTTTGAGTGGGCAACGCCCCCCCAGGGACCGGCATCCCTAGTGGTTAGGGGATGAGCTTTCGGGAGTCACTGCTTACTTCCAAGATGGGTAGCCGTGTTAGCCTGTCTGTGGTACCTCAAAGACTAACAAAATTTGTGGCAGGGGATGTTTCATGAGTCACTGCTCACCTCTTCGGATACAGCTAGAACATAAGTCCATCTGTCCTATATATCTCCGAAAGTGGAGTGATTTCAGGATGCTGAATAACAATAGCAGGCGAATGACAACAGTAGATGAATGACAACAGGCGTAGCTGCATTAGGTGCAATATGCAGAGGGGTAGTCAGGCGTGGAGAAATCAGTGTTGGTAACAAGACAGGAAACCAAGGTCTCGATTCAGTCCAGGAGGACACCTTGTCTTGAGCTTCGTTATCAAAGACGAGCAAGAGATTTTTATCCAGAATTTCTTCACAATGGGACAAAACCACCAACCGTGGATAAAGGACCCATAGCCCCCGCAGGACCTCCAACAAACTGGTCAGTTTTTGTGATAAAAGCTATTAGAATCATCACTGGATACTACATCCCTCTTTCCCCAGAAATATAGTTACTCGATCTTTGGAATAATCCCACTATCCCTAAAATTAGAAGAGAATTTATTTCAATCTTCGTGGTAGCAGCCAAGAGGATTATAGTCAGTACTTGGAAAAGTACGAACAATTTGACTCTCTCACAATGGTACAGTAAAATCCAGGAGTTATATTGTATGGACAAGTTATCCGATAAGGTCTCTTCTTTCTCAGTTTGGGCACTGTGATTTCCAGTTAAAATGGTTTCCCTTTCTAGAATATATTTTCAACAAAGATTCATGCAAAACTGTTCAGGTTCCAAAGAAATATTATGATATTCTTCATTTGACGTAATACTAAGGGGTCCAACTTTGGTTGTAACGGGCTTAAATAATAGCCTTCATAACTGCTATTTATCTTTTAGATTAAATGTATTTACTTCTCAGAAAACAGAAATCGTAGCTCTTTTGTTATGTGCAGCAAACATCTCATTAGTCCAATTTTGGAAATCTGTTAAAATTCCAACATTAAGACATTGGTTTAATAAAGTTTGGGATGTAGTAGTAATGATATAATTGCTATGCAACTTTTAGAAGAAGAAGAAGAGATTGGATTTATACCCCGCCCTTCACTACCTGAAGGTGTCTCAGAGCGGCTTACAAACTCCTTTCCCTTCCCCTCCCCACAACAGACACCCTGCGAGGTCAGTGGGGCTGAGAGAGCTCTTGACAGAAATGGCTCTTTTTCAAGGATAGCTCTTATCAGAACTATGGCTTGCCCAAGGTCATCCAGCAGCTGCAAGTGGAGGAGTGGGGAATCAAACCCAGTTCTCCCAGATTAGAGAAAGAGAAGAAGAGATTGGATTTATACCCCGCCCTTCACTACCCAAAGAAGTCTCAGAGCGGTTTACAAACTCCTCTCCCTTCCCCTCCCCACAACAGACACCCTGTGTGGAAGGTGGGGCTGAGAGAGCTCTGACAGAAATGGATCTTTTTTCAAGAACAGCTGGGCCAGAACTATGGCTTGCCCAAGGTCATCCAGCCAGGTGCAAGTGGAGGAGTGGGGAATCAAACCTGGTTCTTCCAGATTAGAGTCCACACACTGAACCACGACACCAAACTAGGGATGGTTGTGTTAAAAATAATTTGGATTTTTTAGAGAAATGGTTTTCCTTTTTTCAATATATAGAAACAGAAGGGAGCCAATTTAATGCAAGTCCTAGGAAGTTTGCATTGTATTAGTTATAATAGTGATACATATACCTACAAGAGTTGAAATATTATGACTTATGTTCCAGTTTTAAAATGTTCTATATGTTTATGATTGTTACTTGTTTGACGTTTGAAAATTTT